CCAGTTACACGAAACCCCGAAATATCTCCCCTGGCTGTCCCTCAAGAGGGTTGTCCCACCAGCGAGGACGTCAGCAGGTCCCTCCAGAGCCGGCCGGCACAGTGTCCTCGCTGCGGAGCCGCATGGGATGCTCTAATTCACCTCGTTTGTCCCATTTCCCGACAAACCACCCGGCTTCTGCCACCCTAAATCACCCCCCGGAGCCTCCCGGTCCTTGCAGAGCCTCCCAGTTCCCCTTGGAGCCACCTGGTCCCTCTGGAGCTCTCCCAGTTGCCCTGGGAGCCCTCCAGGTCCTCCTGGAGCCATTCTGGCTCCCTTGGGAGCTACCCCCATCCCCCTGGGGCCCTCCCAGTTCCCCCAGGAGCCATCCTGGTCCCCCTGGAGGTCTCCCAGTTGCCCTGGGAGCCCTCCAGGTCCTTCTGGAGCCATCCCAGTTCTCCTGGGAGCCCTCCCAGTTCCCCTTGGAGCCATCCTGATCCCTCTGGAGCCCTCCCAGTTGCCCTGGGAGCTACCCCCATCTCCTTGGAGCCACCCCAGTTCCCCTTGGCTCCATCCTGGTCCCCCTGGAGCTCTCCCAGTTGCCCTCAGAGCCCTCCAGGTCCTCCTGGAGCCATCCCAATTCTCCTGGGAGCCCTCTCAGTTCCCTTGGGAGCCACCCCCCCCCCCCTGGAGTGCTCCCAGTTCCCCTCGGAGCCACTCCAGTCCCCCCTGGAGCCCTCACAGTCTCCCTGGTGCCACCCCAGTTCCCCTTGGAGCCATCCTGGTCCCCCTGGAGCTCTCCCAGTTCCCCTCAGAGCCTTCCCAGTTCCCCTCGGCACTGCTGGGGCTGTCCCTGCTGGGAGGTGGATGCCCAATTTGGTTTCCTTGGGTGTCCTGAAGCTGCTCAGGGGTGTCCCAAATAGCCCTGAGCACCCCAGAAAAGGCAGGTTTAGGGGTGCCATTGCCCCGTCCCCAGTTATTTCTCTCCAGTATAAACAGGGAAAAGCTGGGAGGGCGAGTGTGGTGGGGCGGGAGGGTCATTTCCACCCAAAACTTGGCTTTTCCCAGGAAATAAACAGGTTTAAAAAGGAGGAGAGGGAGGGCTCGAGCAAGAAGCGTGGATCTGGCAGCCCCGCTGTCCCCAACAAAGGTGCTTTGTTCTCCCGGCGGCACAACTCGACCCCTCAGATGGTGTTTTGCTGCTCCTCGCACGAGGTCTTGACTCTCATGGGGCTTCTCCGGGTGTCCTTCAAGACTCTCTGCTTCCCTCCCCTCCCCGAGCCTCCCACCATCCCAGCAGAAGGGCTGGAGGCTCCTTAGATCCTGTCTCCCAACCATAGGTCCTGTCTCCAGCCCCTCGAGGCATCTCAGAGAACATCGAGTGTCTCTGTTGTGTCCTCATGGCCATCACCACGTCCTCCCTTCTTCCAGTAAAAAGCCTCCAAGCCCAATGTAGGACTTTCCAAACCACGAGGTTGGGATCACCCGTGGGTGTTCTCAGCCCTTCTCTAACATCCAACACATCTTCAGTGCCGTGGTGGTACCCACAGCACCCATTGGGGTGGCCTGGGACCACCTGGTCCTACCATAGAGCTCACCCCATAGAGGTTTTTATGTTCTCCAGTCACTTGATGGGGTTCTTCCTGAGGGTGTGGAAGAGGATGAGGAAGGAACCACCTTGATCTGCTGTGGTTTGGGGTCTCTGCACAGAGAAGAAAGGCTTCTCAATGCTGCTGTGAGGAGGGATCACCCCAGGACTTCCATTTAATCATGGAGAGAAACCATCCTTTGGTCCCAGAGACCTTTGGTGTGGTCCAAGTCCCTTTGAGTTGAGTAAAAAGGAGGCAAGAAGGGGTCCAAGAATCCCCAGGAGTTTGGAGGAGAAAGGGAGGGAGCAAAAAGTGGGGTGGAGCAAGGAGAAGATGAGTTCTGGGCCAAGGTGATGTGGTGGTGGGAACCCAACGCTCTTGTTGTACTTGGCGTGAATGTGGAAGAGCCATCACTGCTTGGAGAAAGCTTAGGAGAAGATGCAGAAATGCTTCTAGGTGGCCACGGCCAAGAGAGGGCGGGGGGGTTGTCCCAAATTTTGAATATTTGGGGCGATATGGGAGTCACCACGACATCCCCAGCTCGTGACACCACATAGACGTGGGATGGTTCTGGGTCAACGTGAACGTGGAAGAGCCATCACTGCTTGGAGAAAGCTTAGGAGAAGATGCAGAAATGTTTCTAGGTGGCCACGGCCAAGAGAGGGTGGGGGTTTTGTCCCAAATTTTGAATATTTGGGGCGATATGGGAGTCACCACGACATCCCCAGCCCGTGACACCACGTAGACGTGGGCTGGTTCTGGGTCATCCCTCTTGTAAATGGAAACCTTGGTCCAAACCCCTTATTAACTCTCAAAAAAACCTCCCTTACTTTCAGCTCCACATTGTAAATGGAAACCTTGGTCCAAACCCCTTATTAACTCTCAAAAACCCCCCTTTACTTTCAGCTCCACGAGATGCAGAAATGTTTCTAGGTGGCCACGGCCAAGAGAGGGTGGGGGTTTTGTCCCAAATTTTGAATATTTGGGGCGATATGGGAGTCACCACGACATCCCCAGCCCGTGACACCACGTAGACGTGGGCTGGTTCTGGGTCATCCCTCTTGTAAATGGAAACCTTGGTCCAAACCCCTTATTAACTCTCAAAAAAACCTCCCTTACTTTCAGCTCCACAAACGAAGAACATTTGGAGTTCAAGAAGGCTTCTTTGTACCGACCGGAGGCCAGGAGCTCCCTGGACCTACGAAACATGACGGTGTCCAGCAGCCTCAGCTGGGACACCTCGGAGCTGGGGACGAGAGCGGGCGAGGGGCGAGAAGAAAGCCCTTTAGAGAGACTCTCGGGCTCCAAGGAGCCGAAGGAGTCGGCCTTCGCCGCCGAGCCCCCCCAGGCAGTCAACACCCTGGAGGTGGATCCCGAGCAACTGGAGAGCGACTCCGAGGAGCTGGAGGGTGACAAGGGGACGGCGGAGACGCCCAGCCCTCGCGCCGGGGCGGCGGTTGGCGGTGGGGAAGAGAAATATCTCAAAACCGAACCAAAGCAACTCGAGGGCCTCGGCAAAGAGCACTTAGAGAAAAGCAAGAGGGGAATCCAGAGGCTCGACTGGGTTTCTAGACCCACCAAGAGCCCGAGTCCTCACTACAAAGACGTCAACAAGCCGACAGATGTAGCAACCAACTTGCCCTTTCGGGGCCGTGAAGTGCCTCCTCCGCTGACTCCGACGGTCTTCAGGAAAACGCTAAACCCTGTCCTGGGCAAGTCCAAATCCTTGGAGAGCTCCTCGTCCCACAGGAAGGGGCTGATGGTCGACACGGACGTGGGGGAGATCAACCCCCTCAACGCGACCGAGTGGACGATCCAAAAGCCGGGTCTTCAGCTTGGAGCCGATCTGGCCGTCGGCAAACAGTCCTGGACGGTAAATGCCGAAGACTCGGTGGAGAGGATCCCGTTGATGTCCCTGGAACCCGCTCCCTGCAGCTCCTATGACATCGAGATGAGGCCCTACGTCTGCAGCGTCTTGTTGGAGGAGCAAGGGAAAGAGGAGCTGGGTCCGGAGGAGGACCCTACGGTCTACACCTGCATCGAGTGCAGCATCTACTTCAAGAAGAAGGAACATCTGATGGATCACATGCTCCAGCACAACCGGGGACCAGGGAGGGACCAAGACGGAGACGCTTTGGGAGGACAATGTCAGTTCTGCTGCAACGAGTGCGGGTGGGCCTTTGGAGACCCCACCTCTTTGGAGCAGCACAAGAGGCTCCACCAAGAATCCAGGGAGAAAATCATCGAAGAGATCCAGAAGCTGAACGAGTTTCCCGACGAAGGCCGGGAAGCCCGGCTGCAGTGCCCCAAGTGTGTCTTTGGCACAAACTCCTCCAAGATCTTCGTCCAACACGCCAAGATGCACGTCAAGGAGAGGAAGGACCAAGGGGCGAAGAACGTCAACCTCTTTGGAAGTGGGGGCGGCGGGGAGATGCGGGACAGCCCCCTGCAGGGCATCTACAAACCCTTCAAACCCAACGAACACGTGGCCCTGCAGATGCAGGTCCCGCCTCACGCCGGGGGCAAAGGGCTCAGCACCTGCGTGCTCTGCAGCTTCCCGGCCCCCAACGAGAACATCCTCAAGGAGCACATGAAATACGCCCATTCCCACCTCTCCTGGGACGCCGAGGTCTACGAGGAGGATCCCAATCAACCAGGAACCAGCAGAGATGCCTACAGCCCGGCCAGGTCGGGCCGGTTGGCCGAGACGGATTATTTTGGCAAAACAGAGCGGCTTTTCCCTCCTCCCCATCCCCAAGAAAGCACGTCGCATTACGAAGCCCTCCACGGTTTTGCCCTAAGTCACCCCAGACTCGAGAAGAGCAACGGGGCTAGTAAAAAGGACTACCAGACCTCGGGGTTTCATGCCAGGAAAGGGGCTCCCTACGCCACCCCCCATAAAAACCTGGGTCTCTCCGCTTTCCCCGCCGCGAAAGCTTATTCCCAGTTGGCTCTGCAGCACCTGAAAAAAAAAGCGGCGTCTCAGCACCTTGAAGGAGAAGGCGACGGGCTCCGGAGCCACCCCATGGGGCTGGAGGAGCTCAGGCACAAGTGGACGTTGGCCAACGACGCCGGGAGCCTGGAAGAGGAGATCTCGGTGAGCGCCGAGATGGATTTGGGCGAGAGCAGGGGCCTCAAACCCGTGGCCATCCCTCAAGCTGCCTTAGACCTCAAGAGGACCTTCAGAGACACCTTGAAAGCCACCGACTCTTCCATCGCTTCGGAGGAACAGCAGCACCAGTTGCGGATGATGGTCCCCATCGTCCTCCTGGAGGAGGTCAACCCGCACCCCAAGGCGACCAAGCGACCTCGGGGGAAGCCATTGAAGAGGAAAAACACCCTCCCTTCCCAGGAATTCCTGATGGAAGAGCCCATTCCCTTGGACGTGCTCCTGTTGGACGCTCCTCTGGAGGGTCCTCTGGAGCTGGATGACCTCCTGGACTCCGACTCGCCCATGTTGAAGAACGAGGAGAGGAAATGTCCCTACTGCCCCGACAGGTTTCACAACGGCATCGGGCTGGCGAACCACGTGCGGGGCCACCTCAACAGGGTGGGGGTGAGCTACAACGTCCGTCATTTCATCTCGGCGGAAGAAGTGAAAGCTATTGAGCAAAAATTTTCCTTCCAAAAGAAGAAGAAAAAAGGTAGTATGTATTCAATTCACCGTGCTTTCTATTTTCTGGGTTTTATCAGTGGGGAGGGGTCTTTCTCCTCCTCACCGAGAACTGGGTACGTATGGGACTGTGGGCAACCTCAACCGTGGTGGCCAAGGCCTCTTGGGTGCAATAAATGCCCCCCTCCCCGTTTCCCTTCCTGGGAGCCCCGATTTAGGGGGTTTTTTTCACTCATTTTCTGCCCTTCTTTCCGCAGTTGCGAACTTTGACCCCAGCACTTTCAGCCTGATGCGCTGCGAGTTCTGCGGGGCCGGTTTCGACACGCGAGCGGGTCTCTCCAGCCACGCCAGAGCCCACCTGAGGGACTTTGGGATCACTAACTGGGAGCTCACCATCTCCCCCATCAACATCCTGAAGGAGCTCTTGGCCAACTCTTCGGAGCACCCGATGCTGCAGGCGGCCATGGGAGCGGAACCCTCCTCCCCGAGCCGAGAGAGGGAACCCCACGGCTTCGTGCCACGCAAGAGCATGACCCCCGTGTCCGAGTGCAGCATCACACGCTCTCCTCTGTCCCCGTTCCCTCCGTCCTGGGGAGAAGAGTCCCTCCAGTCCTACAGAGACAGTAAGTGTACCCCAAAAATCCCATGGCAGCCAGAAACCCTTTAGATAACCCCAAATCGTCGCGTCCTGCCGTGCTGGAGGGTGGGTATTTTCAGGGAAGGGTTTAATGGGCATCACCTGGTGTTGGTTTGTCCGTCTCCATCGTTGATGCTCCGTGTCCCGTGAGATCTGATGGATGGAGATGGTGGGAGATGAAGGAGCCGGTCAGTGTGGTCTCGTGAGGGGTGGACGGAGGGGTCTCATCCCACCAGGAACCCCCTCTTTGGACGTTTGGGCTTTGTCGTTCAAAAAGCGTGGTTGTTAGGAAGGAGGTTGAGATGAGTTGAGTCCCCTCCAGTCCTACAGAGACAGTAAGTGTCCCCTGAAAGCCCCATAGGAGCCAGAAACCCTTCTGATAACCCCCAAAATCCTATGGGAGCCAGAAACCCTTTAGATAACCCCAAATCATCGCGTCCTGCCGTGCCGGAGGGTGGGTGTTTCCAGGGAAGGGTTTAATGGGCATCACCTGGTGTTGGTTTGTCTGTCTCCATCGTTGACGCTCCATATCACGTGAGATTTGATGTTTCTTTGGGGCAGAGGGATGAGGATGGTGGGAGATGAAGGAGCTGATCAGTGTGGTCTCATGAGGGGTGGACGGAGGGGTCTCATCCCAGCAGGAACCCCCTCTTTGGACGTCTGGGCTTTGTCATTCGAAAAGTGTGGTTGTTAGGAAGGATGTTGAGATGAGATGAGTCCCCTCCAGTCCTACAGAGACAGTAAGTGTCCCCCAAACATCCCATAGGAGCCAAAAACCCTTCTGATAACCCCCAAAATCCTATGGGAGCCAGAAACCCTTTAGATAACCCCAAACCATCACGTCCTGTCATGCTGGAGGGTGGGTATTTCCAGGGAAGGGTTTAATGGGCATCACCTGGTGTTGGTTTGTCCGTCTCCATCGTTGATGCTCCGTGTCCCGTGAGATCTGATGTTTCTTTGGGGCAGAGGGATGAGGATGGTGGGAGGTGAAGGAGCCGGTCAGCGTGGTCTCATGAGGGGTGGATGGAGGGGTCTCATCCCACCAGGAACCCCCACTTTGGACGTTTGGGCTTTGTCATTTGAAAAGTGTTGTGTTTAGGAACGAGGTTTCCATTGAGGAAACCCCTAAAACTTGGTAGATCCCGGGGCTGAGCGTGGCTGGAGGAACAGGAGAAGAGCGTGGTCCGTGCCCAAGGCAGGATGCGACCTCTGGGCTGGGGATCTGGGTTCATCCCTCGGCTGCTTATTTTCCATGGGTGTTACGGTACGATGGGGAGGAAGGGGACTTAAGGGGTCCTTCCCAAATGGATTTGGGTCTGAGCTGATCCCCATCCATCAGTGAAGCTCCAAATTCTTCACAGGGGATCATCAGCCCATCCCAAACAGCTCCCAGGTTTCTCCTGCCTCCAAAAAATCCTTGTGTTTCCAACCAAAATCTTGGCGACGTTTCTCCCAAAGACTAAAAACTTGCTCGTGCGTCGGGAAAAACCACCACCTGGGGCTTCTCTTGCATCTTGTGTGGTGGCATCTCTGTGGTGGCATCTTGTGTGGTGGCACCTCCGCTGATGGAGACATCCTCTTTTTTTTGAGGGGGGTGAATTTTCATGAGCCGTTTCCGCCCCGGCTGCGGTTTGTGGTTTCTAACGAGGCAGCAGCAGGAAACGAAGGCGGAGGAGAGGGTTTTTGGGCCTCCAGGTGCCAGGAGGAGGTTGATTCGATGAGTCCGGCCGGTGCTTTCCCTCCTCGGGCTCGTAATTAAATCACCTCCTCGGGCTCGTAATTAAATCACCTCCTCAGTCCTCGGTGGGGCAAAGCTTCCCCTTCCCGGAGCCGCGATAATGGAGGAGAAAGGAAGAGCAGAGTCTGGAAAAAGGGCTCTGGGTTTAACACTCGGTCTCGTGGCTGCTTGTTTAAAAACAAAACCGAAAAAAAGTCAAAAAAAGTTTAAAAAAAACCCAACCAAAACCTTTTTAAGTCAAAGGGAGGAAGTTGGTGTTTGGGTCTGCGGCGAGAACTTGCACCCGGTTGTTTGGATGGGAGCGCGTGGGGCAAAAACAGGATGGTTTTTTTTTTGAGCTGGTAAAAGGGGGGATTTCTGGGAGGTTCCCTCTTCCCGGCGCCAAAACCGACCCCGGCTCCGATGGAGCCTCCGCCATCGGAAAACCTCTGAAGTCTTTAATATCCACATCCACAGCTGTTCATTTTACCCCCAAATAAGCAAAAAACCCGACGTTTTGTGCTCTTCTGGAGACCCAGATCTTTCAATCTCCCCTTTTTGGTCCCGATTTCAGACCCTGGGTGGTGAGTCCCCTCCTTGATATGTCTGAAACCTCCTTAAAATGCCACGCTCGACGTTGGACACGTCCCGCCGTGGGGAGCAGGAGGGTTCTCTCTGCTCTTGCCCATCCCAGGATGGACTGGGACGTACTGGGAGGTTACAACATTCTCTCTACTTCGGGTTTGAACAGCTCAAAAGTCTGAAAAATGGGGGTTTTTTTCCTCTTTTCCTCCAAACTGCCGGCTCCTGGTGGAGTTGGTGGCTTCTCCGGGGAGGTCCCCATGCTCAGTGGTGGCTTTTCCCACATGTTGTGATGGGGGAAGGACGCGCGTTTGTTGGTTGACCTTCCGTCCCACGCAGGGTTTTACCTTCTGGAGTGCATCCAACGGGTTTTGAGGAGGAGGAGGAGATGGTTCTTTTGAAGGACACGAGCTCAGGTGGATGGTTTTCCACCTCCTCCATCTGGCTCTTGCTTGCGTTGAGCCCCCAGGTGAGGACCCGTCCCGCCGTGGGGAGCAGGAGGGTTCTCTCTGCTCTTGCCCATCCCAGGATGGACTGGGACATACTGGGAGGTTACAACATTCTCTCTACTTCGGGTTTGAACAGCTCAAAAGTCTGAAAAATGGGGTTTTTTTTCCTCTTTTCCTCCAAACCGCTGGCTCCTGGTGGAGTTGGTGGCTTCTCCGGGGAGGTCCCCATGCTCAGTGGTGGCTTTTCCCACATGTTGTGATGGGGGAAGGACGCGTGTTTGGTGGTTGACCTTCCGTCCCACGCAGGGTTTTACCTTCTGGAGTGCATCCAACGGGTTTTGAGGAGGAGGAGGAGAAGGTTCTATTGAAGGACATGAGCTCAGGTGGATGGTTTTCCACCTCCTCCATCTGGCTCTTGCTTGCGTTGAGCCCCCAGGTGAGGACCCGTCCCGCCGTGGGGAGCAGGAGGGTTCTCTCTGCTCTTGCCCATCCCAGGATGGACTGGGACATACTGGGAGGTTACAACATTCTCTCTACTTCGGGTTTGAACAGCTCAAAAGTCTGAAAAATGGGGGTTTTTTTCCTCTTTTCCTCCAAACTGCCGGCTCCTGGTGGAGTTGGTGGCTTCTCCGGGGAGGTCCCCATGCTCAGTGGTGGCTTTTCCCAAATGTTGTGACGGGGGAAGGTGTGTCCCGCGGCTGCAGCCGCCTCGTTAAGAGCCCTTCTTGGCTCGTTATCGAGGATGTTGATGACTCTTTTGGCTCCAAACCTCTTGGCAGCTGCCTCGGAGAACACGTCGCCCTTCTTGGCAGGCGTTGGGAAGTGTTGGGCAACTGCCTCCTCTCCACAACGGCTCCAGGTTCTCCTCCCTCGTCGCCCACCTCACCTTGCTCTGCCCCCAAACTGCTTTTTTGGGCCTGGAACCATCATCCTCCCTTTTTCTCCCTGTTTTTTCCCCCCAGATTTAACACCCCCCAGTCTCCCAAGCCATGAGGTCTTCTGTTAGACCTGGGTTTCTCCTCTCCATCTGTTCCCCTGTGATGTTTCACCACATGTAGGATGAGGAGCAAACGCGTGTTTGGTGGTTGACCTTCCGTCCCACGCAGGGTTTTACCTTCTGGAGCACATCCAATGGGTTTTGAGGAGGAAGAAGAGAGGGTTCTATTGAAGGATGAAGAGCATCTTCCCCCTCTCTAGAGCATAATGTTCTGGGGATCTCCTGGGTTGGAAGGGACCCATAAGTCCTGACTTGGGAGTTGAACCTTGTATCTGAGAGCGTTCTCCAAACTCTACTTGAGCACCAACAGGTTTGGGAGCCATTCCCCCAACCCTGGGGACCTCGTTCCAGTTCTTAACCACCTTCTCCATGAAGAACTCTTTCCTCGTGGCCGATCTCAACTTGCCCTGACGCGGCTTTAGGCTCTTCCCTCACACACCAGACCCCCAAGAGTAGAGATTGGCACCTCCATTTCTTCTCCCCTATTGTGAGGAAGTTGTAGCCACCCATGAGGTCGCTCCTCAGTCTCCTCTTCTCCAGGTTGACCAACCCTCCAGTTACACGAAACCCCGAAATATCTCCCCTGGCTGTCCCTCAAGAGGGTTGTCCCACCAGCGAGGACGTCAGCAGGTCCCTCCAGAGCCGGCCGGCACAGTGTCCTCGCTGCGGAGCCGCATGGGATGCTCTAATTCACCTCGTTTGTCCCATTTCCCGACAAACCACCCGGCTTCTGCCACCCTAAATCACCCCCCGGAGCCTCCCGGTCCTTGCAGAGCCTCCCAGTTCCCCTTGGAGCCACCTGGTCCCTCTGGAGCTCTCCCAGTTGCCCTGGGAGCCCTCCAGGTCCTCCTGGAGCCATTCTGGCTCCCTTGGGAGCTACCCCCATCCCCCTGGGGCCCTCCCAGTTCCCCCAGGAGCCATCCTGGTCCCCCTGGAGGTCTCCCAGTTGCCCTGGGAGCCCTCCAGGTCCTTCTGGAGCCATCCCAGTTCTCCTGGGAGCCCTCCCAGTTCCCCTTGGAGCCATCCTGATCCCTCTGGAGCCCTCCCAGTTGCCCTGGGAGCTACCCCCATCTCCTTGGAGCCACCCCAGTTCCCCTTGGCTCCATCCTGGTCCCCCTGGAGCTCTCCCAGTTGCCCTCAGAGCCCTCCAGGTCCTCCTGGAGCCATCCCAATTCTCCTGGGAGCCCTCTCAGTTCCCTTGGGAGCCACCCCCCCCCCCCTGGAGTGCTCCCAGTTCCCCTCGGAGCCACTCCAGTCCCCCCTGGAGCCCTCACAGTCTCCCTGGTGCCACCCCAGTTCCCCTTGGAGCCATCCTGGTCCCCCTGGAGCTCTCCCAGTTCCCCTCAGAGCCTTCCCAGTTCCCCTCGGCACTGCTGGGGCTGTCCCTGCTGGGAGGTGGATGCCCAATTTGGTTTCCTTGGGTGTCCTGAAGCTGCTCAGGGGTGTCCCAAATAGCCCTGAGCACCCCAGAAAAGGCAGGTTTAGGGGTGCCATTGCCCCGTCCCCAGTTATTTCTCTCCAGTATAAACAGGGAAAAGCTGGGAGGGCGAGTGTGGTGGGGCGGGAGGGTCATTTCCACCCAAAACTTGGCTTTTCCCAGGAAATAAACAGGTTTAAAAAGGAGGAGAGGGAGGGCTCGAGCAAGAAGCGTGGATCTGGCAGCCCCGCTGTCCCCAACAAAGGTGCTTTGTTCTCCCGGCGGCACAACTCGACCCCTCAGATGGTGTTTTGCTGCTCCTCGCACGAGGTCTTGACTCTCATGGGGCTTCTCCGGGTGTCCTTCAAGACTCTCTGCTTCCCTCCCCTCCCCGAGCCTCCCACCATCCCAGCAGAAGGGCTGGAGGCTCCTTAGATCCTGTCTCCCAACCATAGGTCCTGTCTCCAGCCCCTCGAGGCATCTCAGAGAACATCGAGTGTCTCTGTTGTGTCCTCATGGCCATCACCACGTCCTCCCTTCTTCCAGTAAAAAGCCTCCAAGCCCAATGTAGGACTTTCCAAACCACGAGGTTGGGATCACCCGTGGGTGTTCTCAGCCCTTCTCTAACATCCAACACATCTTCAGTGCCGTGGTGGTACCCACAGCACCCATTGGGGTGGCCTGGGACCACCTGGTCCTACCATAGAGCTCACCCCATAGAGGTTTTTATGTTCTCCAGTCACTTGATGGGGTTCTTCCTGAGGGTGTGGAAGAGGATGAGGAAGGAACCACCTTGATCTGCTGTGGTTTGGGGTCTCTGCACAGAGAAGAAAGGCTTCTCAATGCTGCTGTGAGGAGGGATCACCCCAGGACTTCCATTTAATCATGGAGAGAAACCATCCTTTGGTCCCAGAGACCTTTGGTGTGGTCCAAGTCCCTTTGAGTTGAGTAAAAAGGAGGCAAGAAGGGGTCCAAGAATCCCCAGGAGTTTGGAGGAGAAAGAGGGGGAGCAAAAAGTGGGGTGGAGCAAGGAGAAGATGAGTTCTGGGCCAAGGTGATGTGGTGGTGGGAACCCAACGCTCTTGTTGTACTTGGCGTGAACGTGGAAGAGCCATCACTGCTTGGAGAAAGCTTAGGAGAAGATGCAGAAATGTTTCTAGGTGGCCACGGCCAAGAGAGGGTGGGGGTTTTGTCCCAAATTTTGAATATTTGGGGCGATATGGGAGTCACCACGACATCCCCAGCCCGTGACACCACGTAGACGTGGGCTGGTTCTGGGTCATCCCTCTTGTAAATGGAAACCTTGGTCCAAACCCCTTATTAACTCTCAAAAAAACCTCCCTTACTTTCAGCTCCACAAACGAAGAACATTTGGAGTTCAAGAAGGCTTCTTTGTACCGACCGGAGGCCAGGAGCTCCCTGGACCTACGAAACATGACGGTGTCCAGCAGCCTCAGCTGGGACACCTCGGAGCTGGGGACGAGAGCGGGCGAGGGGCGAGAAGAAAGCCCTTTAGAGAGACTCTCGGGCTCCAAGGAGCCGAAGGAGTCGGCCTTCGCCGCCGAGCCCCCCCAGGCAGTCAACACCCTGGAGGTGGATCCCGAGCAACTGGAGAGCGACTCCGAGGAGCTGGAGGGTGACAAGGGGACGGCGGAGACGCCCAGCCCTCGCGCCGGGGCGGCGGTTGGCGGTGGGGAAGAGAAATATCTCAAAACCGAACCAAAGCAACTCGAGGGCCTCGGCAAAGAGCACTTAGAGAAAAGCAAGAGGGGAATCCAGAGGCTCGACTGGGTTTCTAGACCCACCAAGAGCCCGAGTCCTCACTACAAAGACGTCAACAAGCCGACAGATGTAGCAACCAACTTGCCCTTTCGGGGCCGTGAAGTGCCTCCTCCGCTGACTCCGACGGTCTTCAGGAAAACGCTAAACCCTGTCCTGGGCAAGTCCAAATCCTTGGAGAGCTCCTCGTCCCACAGGAAGGGGCTGATGGTCGACACGGACGTGGGGGAGATCAACCCCCTCAACGCGACCGAGTGGACGATCCAAAAGCCGGGTCTTCAGCTTGGAGCCGATCTGGCCGTCGGCAAACAGTCCTGGACGGTAAATGCCGAAGACTCGGTGGAGAGGATCCCGTTGATGTCCCTGGAACCCGCTCCCTGCAGCTCCTATGACATCGAGATGAGGCCCTACGTCTGCAGCGTCTTGTTGGAGGAGCAAGGGAAGGAGGAGCTGGGTCCAGAGGAGGATCCTACGGTCTACACCTGCATCGAGTGCAGCATCTACTTCAAGAAGAAGGAACATCTGATGGATCACATGCTCCAGCACAACCGGGGACCAGGGAGGGACCAAGACGGAGATGCTTTGGGAGGACAATGTCAGTTCTGCTGCAACGAGTGCGGGTGGGCCTTTGGAGACCCCACCTCTTTGGAGCAGCACAAGAGGCTCCACCAAGAATCCAGGGAGAAAATCATCGAAGAGATCCAGAAGCTGAACGAGTTTCCCGACGAAGGCCGGGAAGCCCGGCTGCAGTGCCCCAAGTGTGTCTTTGGCACAAACTCCTCCAAGATCTTCGTCCAACACGCCAAGATGCACGTCAAGGAGAGGAAGGACCAAGGGGCGAAGAACGTCAACCTCTTTGGAAGTGGGGGCGGCGGGGAGATGCGGGACAGCCCCCTGCAGGGCATCTACAAACCCTTCAAACCCAACGAACACGTGGCCCTGCAGATGCAGGTCCCGCCTCACGCCGGGGGCAAAGGGCTCAGCACCTGCGTGCTCTGCAGCTTCCCGGCCCCCAACGAGAACATCCTCAAGGAGCACATGAAATACGCCCATTCCCACCTCTCCTGGGACGCCGAGGTCTACGAGGAGGATCCCAATCAACCAGGAACCAGCAGAGATGCCTACAGCCCGGCCAGGTCGGGCCGGTTGGCCGAGACGGATTATTTTGGCAAAACAGAGCGGCTTTTCCCTCCTCCCCATCCCCAAGAAAGCACGTCGCATTACGAAGCCCTCCACGGTTTTGCCCTAAGTCACCCCAGACTCGAGAAGAGCAACGGGGCTAGTAAAAAGGACTACCAGACCTCGGGGTTTCATGCCAGGAAAGGGGCTCCCTACGCCACCCCCCATAAAAACCTGGGTCTCTCCGCTTTCCCCGCCGCGAAAGCTTATTCCCAGTTGGCTCTGCAGCACCTGAAAAAAAAAGCGGCGTCTCAGCACCTTGAAGGAGAAGGCGACGGGCTCCGGAGCCACCCCATGGGGCTGGAGGAGCTCAGGCACAAGTGGACGTTGGCCAACGACGCCGGGAGCCTGGAAGAGGAGATCTCGGTGAGCGCCGAGATGGATTTGGGCGAGAGCAGGGGCCTCAAACCCGTGGCCATCCCTCAAGCTGCCTTAGACCTCAAGAGGACCTTCAGAGACACCTTGAAAGCCACCGACTCTTCCATCGCTTCGGAGGAACAGCAGCACCAGTTGCGGATGATGGTCCCCATCGTCCTCCTGGAGGAGGTCAACCCGCACCCCAAGGCGACCAAGCGACCTCGGGGGAAGCCATTGAAGAGGAAAAACACCCTCCCTTCCCAGGAATTCCTGATGGAAGAGCCCATTCCCTTGGACGTGCTCCTGTTGGACGCTCCTCTGGAGGGTCCTCTGGAGCTGGATGACCTCCTGGACTCCGACTCGCCCATGTTGAAGAACGAGGAGAGGAAATGTCCCTACTGCCCCGACAGGTTTCACAACGGCATCGGGCTGGCGAACCACGTGCGGGGCCACCTCAACAGGGTGGGGGTGAGCTACAACGTCCGTCATTTCATCTCGGCGGAAGAAGTGAAAGCTATTGAGCAAAAATTTTCCTTCCAAAAGAAGAAGAAAAAAGGTAGTATGTATTCAATTCACCGTGCTTTCTATTTTCTGGGTTTTATCAGTGGGGAGGGGTCTTTCTCCTCCTCACCGAGAACTGGGTACGTATGGGACTGTGGGCAACCTCAACCGTGGTGGCCAAGGCCTCTTGGGTGCAATAAATGCCCCCCTCCCCGTTTCCCTTCCTGGGAGCCCCGATTTAGGGGGTTTTTTTCACTCATTTTCTGCCCTTCTTTCCGCAGTTGCGAACTTTGACCCCAGCACTTTCAGCCTGATGCGCTGCGAGTTCTGCGGGGCCGGTTTCGACACGCGAGCGGGTCTCTCCAGCCACGCCAGAGCCCACCTGAGGGACTTTGGGATCACTAACTGGGAGCTCACCATCTCCCCCATCAACATCCTGAAGGAGCTCTTGGCCAACTCTTCGGAGCACCCGATGCTGCAGGCGGCCATGGGAGCGGAACCCTCCTCCCCGAGCCGAGAGAGGGAACCCCACGGCTTCGTGCCACGCAAGAGCATGACCCCCGTGTCCGAGTGCAGCATCACACGCTCTCCTCTGTCCCCGTTCCCTCCGTCCTGGGGAGAAGAGTCCCTCCAGTCCTACAGAGACAGTAAGTGTACCCCAAAAATCCCATGGCAGCCAGAAACCCTTTAGATAACCCCAAATCGTCGCGTCCTGCCGTGCTGGAGGGTGGGTATTTTCAGGGAAGGGTTTAATGGGCATCACCTGGTGTTGGTTTGTCCGTCTCCATCGTTGATGCTCCGTGTCCCGTGAGATCTGATGGATGGAGATGGTGGGAGATGAAGGAGCCGGTCAGTGTGGTCTCGTGAGGGGTGGACGGAGGGGTCTCATCCCACCAGGAACCCCCTCTTTGGACGTTTGGGCTTTGTCGTTCAAAAAGCGTGGTTGTTAGGAAGGAGGTTGAGATGAGTTGAGTCCCCTCCAGTCCTACAGAGACAGTAAGTGTCCCCTGAAAGCCCCATAGGAGCCAGAAACCCTTCTGATAACCCCCAAAATCCTATGGGAGCCAGAAACCCTTTAGATAACCCCAAATCATCGCGTCCTGCCGTGCCGGAGGGTGGGTGTTTCCAGGGAAGGGTTTAATGGGCATCACCTGGTGTTGGTTTGTCTGTCTCCATCGTTGACGCTCCATATCACGTGAGATTTGATGTTTCTTTGGGGCAGAGGGATGAGGATGGTGGGAGATGAAGGAGCTGATCAGTGTGGTCTCATGAGGGGTGGACGGAGGGGTCTCATCCCAGCAGGAACCCCCTCTTTGGACGTCTGGGCTTTGTCATTCGAAAAGTGTGGTTGTTAGGAAGGATGTTGAGATGAGATGAGTCCCCTCCAGTCCTACAGAGACAGTAAGTGTCCCCCAAACATCCCATAGGAGCCAAAAACCCTTCTGATAACCCCCAAAATCCTATGGGAGCCAGAAACCCTTTAGATAACCCCAAACCATCACGTCCTGTCATGCTGGAGGGTGGGTATTTCCAGGGAAGGGTTTAATGGGCATCACCTGGTGTTGGTTTGTCCGTCTCCATCGTTGATGCTCCGTGTCCCGTGAGATCTGATGTTTCTTTGGGGCAGAGGGATGAGGATGGTGGGAGGTGAAGGAGCCGGTCAGCGTGGTCTCATGAGGGGTGGATGGAGGGGTCTCATCCCACCAGGAACCCCCACTTTGGACGTTTGGGCTTTGTCATTTGAAAAGTGTTGTGTTTAGGAACGAGGTTTCCATTGAGGAAACCCCTAAAACTTGGTAGATCCCGGGGCTGAGCGTGGCTGGAGGAACAGGAGAAGAGCGTGGTCCGTGCCCAAGGCAGGATGCAACCTCTGGGCTGGGGATCTGGGTTCATCCCTCGGCTGCTTATTTTCCATGGGTGTTACGGTACGATGGGGAGGAAGGGGACTTAAGGGGTCCTTCCCAAATGGATTTGGGTCTGAGCTGATCCCCATCCATCAGTGAAGCTCCAAATTCTTCACAGGGGATCATCAGCCCATCCCAAACAGCTCCCAGGTTTCTCCTGCCTCCAAAAAATCCTTGTGTTTCCAACCAAAATCTTGGCGACGTTTCTCCCAAAGACTAAAAACTTGCTCGTGCGTCGGGAAAAACCACCACCTGGGGCTTCTCTTGCATCTTGTGTGGTGGCATCTCTGTGGTGGCATCTTGTGTGGTGGCACCTCCGCTGATGGAGACATCCTCTTTTTTTTGAGGGGGGTGAATTTTCATGAGCCGTTTCCGCCCCGGCTGCGGTTTGTGGTTTCTAACGAGGCAGCAGCAGGAAACGAAGGCGGAGGAGAGGGTTTTTGGGCCTCCAGGTGCCAGGAGGAGGTTGATTCGATGAGTCCGGCCGGTGCTTTCCCTCCTCGGGCTCGTAATTAAATCACCTCCTCGGGCTCGTAATTAAATCACCTCCTCAGTCCTCGGTGGGGCAAAGCTTCCCCTTCCCGGAGCCGCGATAATGGAGGAGAAAGGAAGAGCAGAGTCTGGAAAAAGGGCTCTGGGTTTAACACTCGGTCTCGTGGCTGCTTGTTTAAAAACAAAACTGAAAAAAAGTCAAAAAAAGTTTAAAAAAAACCCAACCAAAACCTTTTTAAGTCAAAGGGAGGAAGTTGGTGTTTGGGTCTGCGGCGAGAACTTGCACCCGGTTGTTTGGATGGGAGCGCGTGGGGCAAAAACAGGATGGTTTTTTTTTTGAGCTGGTAAAAGGGGGGATTTCTGGGAGGTTCCCTCTTCCCGGCGCCGAAACCGACCCCGGCTCCGATGGAGCCACCGCCATCGGAAAACCTCTGAAGTCTTTAATATCCACATCCACAGCTGTTCATTTTACCCCCAAATAAGCAAAAAACCCGACGTTTTGTGCTCTTCTGGAGACCCAGATCTTTCAATCTCCCCTTTTTGGTCCCGATTTCAGACCCTGGGTGGTGAGTCCCCTCCTTGATATGTCTGAAACCTCCTTAAAATGCCACGCTCGACGTTGGACACGTCCCGCCGTGGGGAGCAGGAGGGTTCTCTCTGCTCTTGCCCATCCCAGGATGGACTGGGACGTACTGGGAGGTTACAACATTCTCTCTACTTCGGGTTTGAACAGCTCAAAAGTCTGAAAAATGGGGGTTTTTTTCCTCTTTTCCTCCAAACTGCCGGCTCCTGGTGGAGTTGGTGGCTTCTCCGGGGAGGTCCCCATGCTCAGTGGTGGCTTTTCCCACATGTTGTGATGGGGGAAGGACGCGCGTTTGTTGGTTGACCTTCCGTCCCACGCAGGGTTTTACCTTCTGGAGTGCATCCAACGGGTTTTGAGGAGGAGGAGGAGATGGTTCTTTTGAAGGACACGAGCTCAGGTGGATGGTTTTCCACCTCCTCCATCTGGCTCTTGCTTGCGTTGAGCCCCCAGGTGAGGACCCGTCCCGCCGTGGGGAGCAGGAGGGTTCTCTCTGCTCTTGCCCATCCCAGGATGGACTGGGACATACTGGGAGGTTACAACATTCTCTCTACTTCGGGTTTGAACAGCTCAAAAGTCTGAAAAATGGGGTTTTTTTTCCTCTTTTCCTCCAAACCGCTGGCTCCTGGTGGAGTTGGTGGCTTCTCCGGGGAGGTCCCCATGCTCAGTGGTGGCTTTTCCCACATGTTGTGATGGGGGAAGGACGCGTGTTTGGTGGTTGACCTTCCGTCCCACGCAGGGTTTTACCTTCTGGAGTGCATCCAACGGGTTTTGAGGAGGAGGAGGAGAAGGTTCTATTGAAGGACATGAGCTCAGGTGGATGGTTTTCCACCTCCTCCATCTGGCTCTTGCTTGCGTTGAGCCCCCAGGTGAGGACCCGTCCCGCCGTGGGGAGCAGGAGGGTTCTCTCTGCTCTTGCCCATCCCAGGATGGACTGGGACATACTGGGAGGTTACAACATTCTCTCTACTTCGGGTTTGAACAGCTCAAAAGTCTGAAAAATGGGGGTTTTTTTCCTCTTTTCCTCCAAACTGCCGGCTCCTGGTGGAGTTGGTGGCTTCTCCGGGGAGGTCCCCATGCTCAGTGGTGGCTTTTCCCAAATGTTGTGACGGGGGAAGGTGTGTCCCGCGGCTGCAGCCGCCTCGTTAAGAGCCCTTCTTGGCTCGTTATCGAGGATGTTGATGACTCTTTTGGCTCCAAACCTCTTGGCAGCTGCCTCGGAGAACACGTCGCCCTTCTTGGCAGGCGTTGGGAAGTGTTGGGCAACTGCCTCCTCTCCACAACGGCTCCAGGTTCTCCTCCCTCGTCGCCCACCTCACCTTGCTCTGCCCCCAAACTGCTTTTTTGGGCCTGGAACCATCATCCTCCCTTTTTCTCCCTGTTTTTTCCCCCCAGATTTAACATCCCCCAGTCTCCCAAGCCATGAGGTCTTCTGTTAGACCTGGGTTTCTCCTCTCCATCTGTTCCCGTGTGATGTTTCACCACGTGTAGGATGAGGAGCAAATGCATGTTTGGTGGTTGACCTTCTGTCCCACACAGGGTTTTACCTTCTGGAGTGCGTCCAATGGGTTTGAGGAAGAGGAGAGGGTTCTATTGAAGGACACAAGCTCAGGTGGATAGTTTTCCACCTCCTCCATCTGGCTCTTGCTTGCGTTGAGCCCCCAGGTGAGGACCCGTCCCGCCGTGGGGAGCAGGAGGGTTCTCTCTGCTCTTGCCCATCCCAGGATGGACTGGGACATACTGGGAGGTTACAACATTCTCTCTACTTCGGGTTTGAACAGCTCAAAAGTCTGAAAAATGGGGTTTTTTTTCCTCTTTTCCTCCAAACCGCTGGCTCCTGGTGGAGTTGGTGGCTTCTCCGGGGAGGTCCCCATGCTCAGTGGTGGCTTTTCCCACATGTTGTGATGGGGGAAGGACGCGTGTTTGGTGGTTGACCTTCCGTCCCACGCAGGGTTTTACCTTCTGGAGCGCATCCAACGGGTTTTGAGGAGGAGGAGGAGAAGGTTCTATTGAAGGACATGAGCTCAGGTGGATGGTTTTCCACCTCCTCCATCTGGCTCTTGCTTGCGTTGAGCCCCCAGGTGAGGACCCGTCCCGCCGTGGGGAGCAGGAGGGTTCTCTCTGCTCTTGCCCATCCCAGGATGGACTGGGACGTACTGGGAGGTTACAACATTCTCTCTACTTCGGGTTTGAACAGCTCAAAAGTCTGAAAAATGGGGGTTTTTTTTCCTCTTTTCCTCCAAACCGCCGGCTCCTGGTAGAGTTGGTGGCTTCTCCGGGGAGGTCCCCATGCTCAGTGGTGGCTTTTCCCAAATGTTGTGACGGGGGAAGGTGTGTCCCGCGGCTGCAGCCGCCTCGTTAAGAGCCCTTCTTGGCTCGTTATCGAGGATGTTGATGACTCTTTTGGCTCCAAACCTCTTGGCAGCTGCCTCGGAGAACACGTCGCCCTTCTTGGCAGGCGTTGGGAAGTGTTGGGCAACTGCCTCCTCTCCACAACGGCTCCAGGTTCTCCTCCCTCGTCGCCCACCTCACCTTGCTCTGCCCCCAAACTGCTTTTTTGGGCCTGGAACCATCATCCTCCCTTTTTCTCCCTGTTTTTTCCCCCCAGATTTAACACCCCCCAGTCTCCCAAGCCATGAGGTCTTCTGTTAGACCTGGGTTTCTCCTCTCC